TTTTTTTGGTGGAACCAGGGATTGAACTCAGGCCCTTGTGCTTGCCAGGGAAGCGCTTTTTCCACTGAGACATCTCCCTGGCCCCTCATTCATTCTTCCATCAAATGCTTATTAACTTACTGGATTTTCTCCTTTGCTCTAGATGCTAAAGGCAGAGCTGTAAATAAAACAGATATACTGCCAGGCTTTGGGAGTTTACAGCCTTTGTTGAGGTGTAATAAAGAGATCAAGAACAGAACATGGTAGATATTAAGTGTTACAAGGGAAAATACAGTGAAGAGACAGGCATGAATAGACGTTGTATTTTAGACAGTGCAGTCAGGGAAGACCACCCGAGGAGGCCACATTTGAGCAGATATGATTAAGAGGAAGAGCTCCCTATGCAGCTACCTGGGAGGATTCACTAGCCAGGCCGAGATCCGTAATTATGAAGGCACTATGACCAAGTGTGTTTAGATCTTGAGACTGATTCAAGGGTTGCAAGAAATCAAGAGACTGCAACCCAGAGAACAAGCCGTGGACAAGACTGAAGCCAGAGAGGGACTCTTAGACCAGGTCATGATGGGCCACATTGGTTCAAATCACACCTTTGCATTTTACTCTAAGTTGGTGGGTTCACACTGGAAAATCTTGAGCAAGGTTTTGTGCCTCTTTATTTTTCTTTGGCCCAATACCTTAGAGGTAGCAATGAGAAATTAGCTTCTGTTCTGATGCATTTGGGATTCTATATATATATTTGGGGAAAGCAAGGGAAATTGGCAGAAAGGAAATGAACAAGTTTTAAAAGGTTTATTTCCTATTAGCTTAAAAATTTAGGACCTTTTGCTGATGGGAAGGGATAGAAGGAGTAGGAAGGGAAGAAGTAAAAAGAGTAAGATAGAACTTGTGTGTGTGTGTGTGTGTGTGTGTGTGTGTGTGTGTGTGTGTACCAACCCCACAGTGAATGTACTCATAGGTATCAGGAACATGGACAAATAAGAAACAAATTCATGCTTTCAGTCTGGGATGGTGGCATGTAACTGTGGAAGGCTGAGGCAGGTAGATCACAAGTTTAAGCCCAGCTTGGGTCATTAAATGACTTAGCAGGGTACTGTCTCAAAATTTAAAACAAGTTTGGGCCGGGGAGATGGCTCAGTAGAATAAGCACTTGCCTGGCAAGCGCTAGGGCCTGAGTTCAATCCCTGGTTCTTCCAAAAAAAAAAAAAAAGTTAAAAGAACTGGTTGTAGTTCACTGTGAAGACTCAACCTCCATACTGACAGAGAGATAGAGAGATAGAGAGAGAGAGAGAGATAGATAGAGAGAGAGAGAGAGAGAGAGAGAGACAGAGAGACAGAGACAGAGACACAGAGAGAGAGAGAAACAGAGACAGGGAGAGAGAAAGGGAGAAAGGAGGAGCAGGAGCAGGAGTGTGTCCTTATCTGATAGAAGTCTTGGATCCATTTCCCTGCCCAGCTGTTGGCCACCTCCACTCATCTGATTCCTATCACAACTGCTTTCTCTCCTGCTCTTCTGTCCTGGGCAGGCTGACTCCGTCACATTCAGAGTGGTGCAGCCCCCACGCCATGGCATGATCGAGAGGACCAGCAGGGGGCAGCACACCCGCCTGGCCACCTCCTTCACCATGGAAGACATCTACCAGAAGCGGATCAGCTACAGCCATGACGGCAGCAACTCCCTCAAGGACCGGTTCACCTTCACTGTCTCTGATGGGACGAATCCCTTCTTTATCATTGAGGAAGGAGGGAAAGAGGTGAGAGGCCAGTAGAGTGGAGGAGGTCTGGTAGTGCACGCCAGAGGCAGGACGCAAATCTTTACATCCAGCCTAACATTAAGTTCGTACCCTGTAAACTTACTCCTATATTGGCCGTGGGAAAATCACTGAAGTCCTCTAAGCCTCAGTGTCTCATCTGTAAAATGAGCACAGTATTACCCACTTCATATATGTAGTCTAAAGATTAAGGGAGATAAGAAAATGCTTAACACTGTTGGTAATAAATAAACCCTCAATAGAAGATAATTGTTAATATTCTTTCTTTTTATTTCCCATTTCTTACTCCTTGAAGTTTTTCTTCACCTAGTTTTTCAGTGATATCTTATGGCTCTAGATTGTCTTTCTCTTTTTAAATTATGATGCTCAGTCCAGCCAGTCTTAGTCTTTGAAAAAAAACAAGAGCAGGGCTTTTGAGTCTAAGATATACTGATTTAAAATCTAGCTCTCATGTCTTTGTAAGCTTCAGCTCTCCTCTCTGTAAAATGGGTTAATGCCCATCCTTCTGGTGTGCATAGGTGCATGGGAGGCATTGATTCATCCTAGCTGTCGTCATCGGCACCATTTTTTTTTCTTTTTTTTTTAAATGTATTTGATACAGGTTCTCACTACACAGCTCAGATTCATAGTGATCCTCCTGTTTCAGCCTCCCCAGCACTAGGATGACAAGCGTGTGCCACCACACCCATCTTGGTGTCTGGCTCAGCATGCCCAGGGCAGAATGAAGATCTTTACAATCCAGCCTAACATTCTAACATTCAGAGTGGTGCAGCCCACTCTGAACTGGGGTAGCATATGGTACAGGGGATCAAACCCGGATCCTTGTGCTTGCCTATGCAGGTGCTTCGACCATTGAGCTATCTCTGCGGCCCCATCAGCACCATTTTAAGCCTAGCCTGTGCAGCCAGTGAGATGCATCCTCTGAGGCCATTCCACCTTTCTGTCAAGTTTTACTTCCCAGAAGAATTTCTCCTTCCTCTCCTGCACATGTTCAGAAGAAACTTAAGATTCCTCTTCTCCATCTTCCCCACCCCTTACACTCATGCCTTCATCTTGGCAGTGCTCCCTCGGGGCTCTGAACCTTCCCTAGAAATGAGTGCATCCCACTTCCCGCACCACTGTGCTGACTTCGCAGGAGCAGGCTCTGAGCAGCTTCCTGACACCTACCCCCTGCAGCATCACAGAGGGGCCCCTCTTGGCCCCTCAGAGACCCTTTCTTATGCTAGGGGTGAATGATTGTGTTCTTCAAAGCAAGATTGCACTGTGTCCATGAGAGATAAATAGGTCACCCACACCCTGTCTGGGTGGCCCTTGGGGTTTCCCTGTCTGTATCCGGGCTGGCGTAGGCCTTCGGGCTTTGTTTGTTTGTTTGCACTGCTCTCCAGTTAATTTGACTTTCAAAAGACTTGGAGGGAAAAAGATTTCAGGCTGTGTCAGAAAGAGGGCCACCCCTGCTGTAAATAAAAAATCTTACAGAATCTTATAGCAGGACGTCCAAAGGACATGCCATCTTAAAATGAAACTTACTTGGAAGGTGGGATGCAGTTGCTGCCCTCAGAAACTGCAAGGTTCTGATCACACTTGTGTGTATCGTGTGTGTGTGTGTGTGCGTGTGTGTGTGTGTCTGTGTGTGTGTCTGTGAGATTCTAAACTGTACACTCTTCTTTCCCTGTTCCCATAAGGTCTTTTTTTCTTCCTCCCCTGGTTATCTTTAGAAACTGCTTTCCCTCAAGACAAACCACAAGGACAGAAACAAAGAAAAGAAAAGGCAAAAAGAAAATTCTTCCCACAGAAACTTCATGTCTGACATAATCTGACCTCATCAGGCCTTTATGAAAATGTTAATAAGCATGCTTGAAAGGAAGATATGCTGTGTATTATTTCATTTTAGGCCAGTTGTGGTGAATTGCCAACTGGTGGTCAACTTGTTACACCCAGCTGAACTGAGCATGGTGCGGGGTGGGAGGCCCCCCTGGGATTGCTGCCAGCAGCAGAAGAGGCAGAACTGGAGAAGCTGTTGAGAGGCTGATAGGGAAGCTGTTTGGAGAAGCTGTTGGAGCTGTTGGGAGCTACTGGTTCTCTTAGGATATTCTGCTAGTGAAATGATTATGCTGGCTTTCCTGATGAACTTGGTTGTTCTCACTGGAGGAGGAGCTTGGAACCTCATTGTCACTGAGAATGGCTATGGTTCATTTTGGGGGAGCTCTGGTCCTGACTTGGAACATCACTTCCTGGCTCTGGAGGGGAAGATGGTGCACATGTGAGTCTTCTGGAGAAGCTTGTCACATTAGCTTTCCTGAAGGGAACTCAGCTTTCCTCATTCTTAGAAGAGCTCGGCACCTCACTGTCGCCGAGCATCACTGTGGTACTTTTCAGGGAAGCTCTGGTTCTTACCTTGAGCACTGCTTCCTGGCTCCATTTCAGATTCCTCATCCTGCTGGCAGAGACTTTCTAGCTTCCACCGCTGACCTTTGGGCCTTCGCAGTGCATGTCCATGAAACGGGCCTGCATGAGGCATTGTCAGGGGCTCTAGACCTCCAGTTGGACTCATGGAAGGCATTATGAGATCTACATTTTCAGCTGGACTTACACAGGATATTGTAGGATCTAGACCCTCATCTAGAGTCTTTGGTCTTTAGTGTGTGGACAGATTTCCTATACTTTTTGCATATGATTCTTTGGGTGAATCACTATAAAATAATCTTACGAAATATGTCCTATATTATATTGTTTCCCTTTACAAAACCCCAAATTATGACACCAGTGTTGGCTTCAGTTCCAGAAGAGGTAGGGCTGGGGGGGGGGGGTACAGCTGAAGCATAGAGCAGGAGCCTGAAACGTGCAAGGTCTTGAGTTCCATCCCCAGATGAAAAGACAACTGACTTCCATAGCAGTTGAAATCCCTGGAGAGGTGCTTCTGCTCCCCACTTTTCTTCCCCATGGGTTTCTCATCTTGCCAGTCAGCAATTTCCCTGAAGGTTCAGGCCACTGCAAGTAAGGGATAGGAGCTGTTTCAGTTGCCCAGTCTTCATCTCTGAAATATCACTGGATTACAGGCTTCTGGAGCGGTCTTGGAGGTCCTGGGCCTGACATACGCCATGCCTTTCCAGGTGATAAGTGTCCTTCTCTAACTCCCTCAATAGATTACAACAGCAGCACCTCAGCAGTTCCGAGTGGACATCCTCCCAGTAGACGATGGCACCCCTACAATTGTCACCAACCTGGGACTCCAGTGGCTGGAGTATATGGATGGCAAGGTAAGGCCTGTCCCATGTACCGAACTGGGGCCAAGTCTTTATTCACACCAGTGTCTTATGAGTAGAACTCTAGCTCAACACATGTTTGTCACTCTCTCACTGAGGTGGTTTCCTCAAATTGCCAAATTCTGTGAGTTTAAGATTCCTCATTAGTTAAGGTTGTGCAGGACAGATTTCCACAGCCAAAATGCATCCATAGTCCAACTCAACTATAATGCCCCACTCCTGAGGGTGCCTGCTCGTTGCTTTGAAAAGTCCAACTTATTGCTCTGCCATCACTAGAGAGTGAGTTAACTGTGTTTCTTCAGAAAGTCATCAGTACTGTAGCTGAAGTAGAAGGAAAAAGAGAGAAGCAAGGGCAGGGAACTTCCTTTCAAGCAAGTGGTACAGGAATGAGACACATCCCTTGCACTCTTTATCTAGAGAGAAGAAACTGGCCACATGGCCCCACATGTGGATGGGAAATAGCATCCTGGCGGAGCAGGCAGGCATTCAGCTACAGCTTTGTTAACAGGAAAAGAAGATGGATTTCAAAAACCTTAGTGTCTGTCCTTAGTGGGAATGAAGCGTGCATTTTTGTAGACAAATATTCTTGAAAGATTTCTACTTTAGAAATCCTTTTCTCCATCTCCTCATTCTCAAATTGATCATTTTAAGCAACACACCATAATTTTCACCTAGTAGACAGCAAGCACTAGACTGGCAACCTACCCAGGGAACCCACCCAGTTCTTCATTTCAGCAGAAAACCAATTTCTCTTTTGGGTGTGGCTGTTTTCTTCTCTGTCGAGCTGATCAGTGGGCTATCTGTAACTGCTAGGCTGACGCATCCCCACCGAGCTGCTTGGGTTTCATAAAATAAATGAAACAAAATTAGTGCAATTTCCTCTAATGTCCTATTTGATTTTTCACCATTCAAAACGATTCCTTCCCCCATGCAGTTGGGTTTCCAACTCCCATGCCTGCCCAGCTGCACTAACTCTTAGTGATTCTCCCATGTCTTCGGCTTTGCTAAATTCCAAAGATGACTCTCTCCTTGTCTTACTAAATCTAATGACATGTACTACTATTGATCATGCCCTTGCTTTTCTCAGACTGGTTCTCACTAAATATTTGAAATGAATGAATGAATGAGTGAATGAATGAATGAATGAATGAAGTTTAGCCCCTGTACTTGGGCGACATGCAGGTGCAATGTATTTATCCTACCCAGTTTCGAGCCTTGCAGGTGATTTCTCCAAGCTTCTCAGTATTCTGTTGTTCTGTCTTAAGTTCCAGCTTTCTTTCAAAGCCAAACTCAAATCACAAGCCCCAAATCCCACTTTGCTCACCTTCGGGTGGGATTCATCTATCTGACTTCGCAATGGTCTAGAGCACTCTTTTTATGCTTCTCGGATAGCCAGTGCCACAGCGACCTTGCTCACCAGCCTTTCTGTCCCAGTAAAATGGAGACACCTCACGGACAGAGGCTGGAAGTCTCTATCCTCATCACCTCTCTAGTCCTGACAGGGTTTTCTGTGCAGCAAATGCACTCGGTAAATCACTGTTGAACTGAATTAAATCTGAGTCAGAGGGTCTTGTTCTTGCTTTAATTCCCACATCAGGAATTAAATTTAATGGGCTTCTATTTCAGGCAACCAACCTGATCACCAAGAAGGAATTGCTGACCATGGACCCAGACACGGACGACGCGCAGCTGGTCTATGAGATTACGTCGGGCCCCAAGCACGGCCACGTGGAGAACAAGCTGCAGCCCGGCCGAGCTGCTGCCTCGTTCACCCAGGGTAGGGGCCCGGGCGGACTCAGAAGCAAGGACGCTTTCCCTGCCATTCCCCCTGCCCGCCTCCCTTCTTCCTTGACGTTCTCATTGTCACTTCCCACTACTTATGCCCACATCAGCTGTCTGCAAACAGGCTGCATAGTGTACAGCTGTCCACCTTGTCAGTTTGGCTTCTGCTGGTTTTGTCCGTTTTTACTCTGAACTTCGGCAGACAGTTGATCTCTACCATGCTTCCTGCCTTTAGGTTTGGGCCAGGTTTTCTAGAGAGGAAACAACAGCCAATGTATGATCCCATGTGGTTTGTATTTGTAGTTGTTGTTCTCTACAGATTATAGTGTTAAAAAGGGGGGGGGCAGGATGGCTCAGCGGAATAAGCGCTTCCCTGGCAAGCGCAAGGGCCTGAGTTCAATCCCCGGTTCTGCCAAAAAAAAAAAAAAAAAAACTTCAGCCCAGAAATTAAAATCAACATGTATAGGTTGTACAACAGCAATGTCTCCTGGTTTGAATTACATAAAGTGGCTTTTTAAAATTTAAACAGGGTCTCATTGTGTATCCTAGACTGACCTTGAACTCACAGCAATCTTCCTGCCTCAGCCTACCAAGTGCTGGAATTACAGACATGCACCACCATGCCCAACAAGCGGGCCATGTTGAATTTAGTTTCCTGTCTACACATCACACTCTTGTATTCCTCCAAGGGCAGACCTGGTTAGGAGTGCTCACTGTAATACTGCCTCTTAAAATCTCTGCTCCTTTTTTCTTCTTATTCTCCAGTTTTCCATGCTGTGTTGTCTCCTATTGCCTTTTTAGTTGTGTCTTGTGTATAGACTGTTTTAATCCAACCCCAGCTTTTCTTGATAGCCCTTACTTTCCAAAGAACATTCCTGGGAAAAATTTAAGGCTGAGTAGGAGGACATGCCCACAAAAAATGGGGTCAGAGACTTCTCTCTACTGACTCCTGAAATAGCCTTCAACCTTCCAGTGATGCTTGCTGAACTGCTTTCTGCCAAGACCCTAGGATTCCCACTTCCCAACAATGAAGCCTGCTTTCTATACATAAAGAAGACAGACACTTGCTGAGCAATAGCAGAATTTTATTTTAAAAGCTGGGAGAAAGATTTCTTCTTAAAACTACTACGTTCTTTGTACTTGTGAAAATGAATTCTACCTGTAACTCATTAGAAAAATAAACTAGATGTGTTCATGTTAAGATTCCTGGGGGCCGGGGAGATACCTCAGTTGAATAAGTGCTTGCCTGGAAAGTGCAAGGGCCTGAGTTCAATCCCTGGTTCCACCAAAAAAAAAAAGAAAGAAAGAAAAGAAAGAAAGAAAAATTCCTGGAGGCCATTTTTATGTCTCCTGGTTGATTCAGTGAACTTGTAGTGAGTTTTTTCTTTCTTCTCACAGAGGATGTGAACTTGGGGCTAATTCGTTATGTGTTGCATGACGAGAAGATCCGCGAGACGATGGATAGTTTTCAGTTTCTGGTGAAAGACAGTAAGCCCAATGTGGTCAGTGACAATGTCTTCCATATCCAGTGGTCCCTCATCAGCTTTAAATACACCAGGTACAAGTCTTTTCATGCTTTCATTCTTGAGAAACAAATGAGACAAGTAGAGGAGACCAGGTTGATCCCCCTGCAGCAGCTCGAGTCAGCAGCAGGCAGCAGTGGCGGTGGTGATAACGATAATAAAAATAATAACTGCACGCCGAGAGCATTCAGTGCACTGCATCCAAGGCACTGGCTGGTACTTACCTTGCAATCGACTGTTTTGTTCACTTTCAGTTATGTGATTATGAGATGAATTTTTCTTCCTGACTCCACAGCAGCAGAGCAATGTAGTTGAAAAAGATGGAGTCAGTTGCCCACACACCATTACCAGAAGTAATATTTTGCTGTTTGCTGATTTTTTTACTCTTAGTTTTATCTTCTCCAAAATTAAACAAATTCAGTAAAACTCATCCTTTTTTCCTGAACAACCCTGTAACATGTAATAGAATAAGTGTTATAGAGAATCACAAAGCTGGCAATAAAACCTGACCTCTCAGCACTGGGACGCGAACCCAGGTCCCACAGCTGTCTATAGTGACAAGAAACAGCTCAGCGCTCACCCCACTCCCTGTGGCTTTTCCAGTCCTCCTTGTTTACTCTGACCTGGCTGCACATGAAGTGCTGGCCTGCTGCTTGGCAAAAGCATACAAATCCGTAGGAGCAAGCTCTGATCTTACCATCTGTTGTCATGAAACTGCACTTGTCTAACCTTTTCACCCACACCCAAGTCTCCTGTTCTTGCCTCTGCTGCTGTGTGGTTTCCTTCCGTATTTCCTGCCGGCTTGGTGTACCCTTCCCACTGAGGTCATCTGTACCCTCTGTGCAGCTCTGGAACTGAGAGCCCACTTGACCAGTTCTTGTTACCCTGCCACCCTAGGGTACAATTGCAGTTTTTCTATGTTCTGAGACCCGTAGCTCAGAGCTCGTGCATATTGTCCCCTATTCATCTTCTCTGTGGCTTTCACCTCTCTTCCAATTGGACAGATGACATTCTGCATCCACAGCATCCTTGTCCCCTTTTTCTGTGACTGTTCAAGTGAACAGGCTCCCTCATTTTACCTGGCTTCCCAAAGGAACTGAATTCTTCCCTCTGAACTACCTGATGCCAGTAACCAAACAGGACAGCCTGATGCTGAACAAGGGGCTGGGAGCAGATTTTCAGAGATGCCTTTCTGTGTGCTTCCAGCTACAACATCAGTGAGAAGGCAGGGTCTGTCAGCGTGACGGTGCGGAGGACCGGGAACCTGAACCAGTATGCCATCGTGCTGTGTCGCACCGAGCAAGGCACCGCCCGCTCTAGCTCTGGCCTTGGGGTCAGCGCACACCCGGGACAGCAGGACTACGTGGAGTATGCTGGCCAGGTACATGGGATGGGGCCCTCGGGGTCTGGGCCTCGGGCAGGCTCCAGCAAGGTCTGAGAGGGGCTGCAGACAACTGTGACAACTTCCTCCTCCCCCTCTCTACCCAACCCTCCTTCATACAAGCTTCCCTCCTGGAGTAGTTTCCCTGTGTTGCCTCTCATCGCGCTTGTGCTTCAATCTCTCTGTCCGCACTGAAGTGCTACGGCAGAGCTCATGTCGTCAGCTGGCTTCTCGGTCTTTACTCTTGGCTTCATCATGGGTAGAGTCTGCAGGGCATCCCATTCTATGCTCACCCTTGACGTCCTTTCCCCTCTTTTGCCTTCTCCTTCCTTACTGAAAGCAGGGAAGAGAGCAGGCAAGGAGACCAGTTGGGAACCTCTTGGAATAGGCTGGGTGAGGAGCGATGGGCTTTGGGCTTCCCTTAGGAAGTGAAGTTGGAGGGAAGCAGATGGATTCAACAGATGAGAGCTCACAGACTTGGCAGTGGGCTGGACATTGGGGCAGAAGGTGGGGGTGGCACCCCTTGCTGGGAAGGGACTTGCCTTGGACAGTGGAGTGTGAATTGCCTTAGAAACAGCAGGTTGAACAGCAATAACTAATAGACAGGGAGTAGGGAGAGGAGTCTGGGGCAGGGGAGGAAATGTGCCAGTCACCTGTGTACCTGTGGCTATTAGTACCACAGTGGCAGTGACAAAGAAAGGAAAAGTCAGGAGGCTGAGGAGCAGCTCAGTGGAGAGTGTGCGGAGTGGGGTGAACGAGGCCCTGGGCAGCCAAAAGGAAGGGGCCATAGTGAGCATAGAGGAAAAAGAGAAATAGCTGACTGCTTTTTTTTTTTTTTTAA